TTGCCGAAATTTTGCAATTGTGTAGGGGGTGTATAATATGTTGCGGTACTAGGTGGAGGTGTATGCACTATTGTATAACCATATGCTCTTTCGCCAATTCTATCAATGCATGTAGTTTCATCTTCTTGCAAACTCTAGCCTTTATTGCAGCATAATCAGGAAACAACCCCTTTTCATATTGTTCAAGGCAAAGAGCACTCATTTTCTTGTTTTGTGCCAAGCTCTTTTTTAACGCAGCCACAAGTGCTTCTGGAATGGTTTGCTCCACAATACTTTCAGATTCTTTCGGCAATGATTCGTGAGTGTTGCCGAAATTCTCGAATTGCGTAGAGTATGCATTATATGCTACAATATCTGATGACGGCACATGTGTTCCTGTAAAATTTTCACTTATTCGGCTATGACCATGAAGATGCGGGGCCGAATTATGAACATCTACAGTTGCATATGGTGCTGAAAAATTACTAACATCAGGTGTAGCATATGATGGTTGAGAGTAACTGGCCGAATAGCTAGTAGTAGCATGGCCAATTCTTCCATCCATCGGCAAGGTTGGATTCACATACTACAAATTAGTTGCCGATGAATAAAAAGGTGAAACACTTTCTTCTATGCTATTGGAAATTTTAACATGAGGTGTTTCGAATTGATTAACCGAACCCATCATGTTGTTCATCGGCATATGGATTTGTGGGGTTGCTGATGCATGAGAGTTAGAATACATATGTTGTATGTTACTAGTATCATAAGAAGTTGAAACATGTAAATTACTTTGAATCGGCCTATGCACGTAATTAGATGCCTTATTGAAAAAACTAGGGCTGGCCGATAGAGTATAATCATTGAACGATCTAGTAACATCATATGAATTATTTGCATCTACAGTAGGGAATTGGGTATTCATATTACCTTTGTAGATTGCAAACCCTAGATGACGATCTCTTCGTGGTAAGAACGGGCCGGAGACCATTCAAAGCTTTGTCCCCAGCGGAGTCGCCAAAAAGTGTGTTCGCACACGAACACGTCAACGTGTACCTTCGACGCCGGGGGTGATGCACCGCAGCTCATGTCGAAGGAGACCCGCCGGAAGCGCGGTACGCAAGACAATTCGGCGGGTGCTTTTGTATACCCGAAACCCCACACGCCCGGGAGGGACCCCGTCAGGGCGCACGGCGGCTATGGGCTACCCTAGGTCGACCTGATCGCCCCTAGGGCCTCGAGGTTCGCCGCCCTGCAAACGAAGAACGAACGAAGAACGAGGAAGAAGAAGAACAAGGGAGAGGGATAAAGGTAAATGTAAAAAGATGATATATTGACAGATCGATTGTGTGTTGTTCAATCGGCCTTCACCCCTTACATATATATGAGGCGGATGGACTTCCCGTACAAGAAAAGAACTCAAATGACGTCCAAATCATCAAAAGTTATCCTAACTCGGACTACCCGGAACTTCCGGGCTGAAATTATGTCAAGTAGCCCTCTTGCACTGAATCTGCAGGCCGCATACTACTTCGGATGACAATGGTCCCAAAAGCAAAGTTGTAGATCTTGCAATGGAGAAAAACTCTTCAGTTGATCACGTTTTCATCCGAGGTTATCTTGATGTCGAAATTGGCCCCAAAAATCTGTAAATAATGTTAAAATTCCAGTTTTCGGGGCGCACCACGTGCAAACTTTCGGTTTAGCCCGGAACCTCCCCGGAAGTTTTGCCCGAAACTTCCGGGGCAAACTTATGTAGCACACTGTTTTGGCTCTAACTTTTGCATATGAACTCCGATTTAGACGATTTTTATGTCGAAATCAATCGTCTCGACGAGACGAAGACAATTCGTGTAGAAACATCACTCATATGAGTCCATCTTGGGGGCATAATCAGCCGAATAGTGTTCTGAATGCAAAATCTCAGTACTTCAAACACAACTTCGGCCTTAGAGATTAGATCGGATGGCTACGGCCCAAATATCAAAGTTTCTTCTTTTGACAATACGGAACTTTCTCACTTTGAGCACTTTTCCATTTGAAGTCTTCTTAATTATGTTTTTGACCATGCCAAAATCTGATGTCAACAGATTGTGATTGGTGCCTTTCCATTCTATTGTCCGACTCCGGCGCTATGGAAGGAAAGCTCATCCTATCCATCGCCATTGACATTGCCATCGTCATCACTGAGTAAGAAAAGAGACGACACGAAGGAAGGTGTTTTTCCTTTTGAGATAAAGGAAGGAAGATGGTGATCTCGCCGGAAATACAGTCTAGTTCCTAGTTGTATATGCATTCTGTATGAAAAAAATTAAACAAAAAATCAGAAAAGTTTAGAAGTTTTTTTAGAATAAACTTGACTACCTTTTGCACTAGTACATAAATTTTCATGAAAAGAAAAACAACATTGACTTCATAGCGGAAAAAACAAAATTTATTCGCTACTATAGGTCACTATTCACACTATTTTGATCAAAAGTTTGTCTTTTTGAAAAGAAGTCAAAGGGGGTTTTCTTTTCCTGAATTTTTTCTCACTGGTACAATGGAAGGTCAAGTTTATTTCAAAAATATTTTCATATTTTTTTGACTTTTTATTGAATTACTAATAAAATCCATATAAGGTGTAGATGTCCCCATAGACCAAACACCCGCGTTCGTGATCTCACAAATTTTTTTGGGCATGCATCTTGATCCAAATGTCCATTCGCCGCTAGAACTAGGCTTGGGCTCTTACATCGGAGTTGAGTGATCTCATAGATTGACAAGGTGGCCCAAGGTGCCCACGGGGAATCGATCCATGTCGAACGGGAGCAACTAACAAAAAAACTAACAAAAAAACTGAGGGGTACCCCTTGCAGGAGCCCCTCAAGGGTTAATTTCAGTGGGCACAGGGCATTGCCACTTGGCGCACTATCAACCGCCACCACGTGTCACGTGCAGGATTTTTCTTTACATGTTTTCGGCTTTGGACATTTTCTAAAAAAATTGGCTTTTCGGTTTTTAGTTGTTTTCCCTAGGTTTTGGACCAAAAAATAGAAAAAACATTGCGCAAAACAGCATGTTTCTTTAACAAAAACTTTCAATTTCATGTTTTTTTCTAGAAAATGTAATGAATGTTTTAAAATGCATAAACTTTAAATGGTTTGTACTACAAATTTATGGTTTTTTCAGAAATTTTGGTATAGACTACATATGGCCTGAATGGAGTGAACAAACACACTGAAGTGTGTCCATATAAATCTGAATCATGTATAAAAACTAAAAAATTCTGATAATAGTGAACGGAGGGAGGATCCTTTTATATGTCATGAACATTTTCCAAAAAGTGCGTGTTGAAAAATCTTAAATTTCATAATATTTTTTGAAATTTTCATTAGCATATTTTTAAATGTGTGAAAAAATAAAATGCCATGAACATTTCTTCCGATTGTACTAACATGTTTTTAGATGTCACAAACAGTTTGTTTAATGTGTGAACATTATTATTTTGAATGGTATGTGTAGGTTTTGAAAACATCTGAACATTATATTTATAAAACGTAATGAACGGTACATAAACAAGCGAAAACAAACATTGAAAACCCAGCCATAAAAAGCAGAAAAGAAAACCCAGAGGACTAAACCAGCGTTGCACGGGCAACAGAAAAGCACCGCAAATAGTGTAGTGGGCCGGCCATGGAAGCGTGGTAGGCGTTGGCCCACCAGCATCGAAAGTCAAAGTGCGGGGCGGTGCTCACGTTTTTTCGTCCAGCTAAAAAAATTGTTTTTTCGGTTCTTTTTTCTTTTCTGTGTTTGTTTTTATGCTTTTTTTAAATGGTTGCGATTTCAAACAAAAACTTCTGCATTAAAAACAATGTTCACGAATTAAAAATTCACAATGCCAAAAATAAATGAACGTTTTTTGAATTTGATGAACAATTTGTATTTTGATGAAGAATTTTTTATGATTTTTCTTTTTTTCATGAACATTTTATTTGAATTTGATGAACAAATTTTGAACACAAGAACATTTTTTTAATTGGATGAAAAAATCTTGACTTTGATGTGCTTAAGTAAAAAAATCACAATTTCAAAAATAAATGAACAGTTTTGAATATGATGAAGAAATTAGTACTTGAGACTAGCCAAGTTTCTAAACCCTACAGAAAAGAACTATATATAGTACTCTCTGCGTCCGGAAATACTTGTCATTAAAATAGACAAAAATGAATATATTTAGAACTAAAATACATCTAGATACATCCCCTTTTATTCATTTTGATGACAAGTATTCCCGGACGGAGGGAGTAAAAACAAAAGTACAGCAAACTAGCTCATCTGAAACAACGGACGGTGAATTGCACCTTGCAACGTAGGAGGCACTAGCCACATCTTCCATCCACGGTGTATATATAACAAATATATATCAGCAGCAAAACAAAAAGTTGTAGTAATGATTAAGAAAAAGACCAACATAGCCATTGGGAGAGAAGAACAAAAATTGGGTAGCTACATATGGTACACACACACACACACACATCACGCAAGGGGAAGA